TAGAATTAAAATTCTTCTTTATTGATGGAAGAGAGACTCCTAGAAAAAAAATAGTAGACACATCTTTACTAAAAAAGGAGGGAAAATGAGCAAGATGCTTTTGAAAGAATTATCATTCATTGCTGGAAAGAGTTTTTAATTTTTTTGTTTTTTTCATCGATGTTTTTCAGAACAGAATAAAAAAAATATATATCTATACTAAATGAAAGGAGGAATTTGGAGTTCCTAAAGCCATCCATCTCAGCTTTTTTAGAAGCTTTCTAAACTTGCCACATCAGCAGATCTATAATAAAAATAATTGTTTAATATATTTATAACTTGCTTAAATTTAAATAGTATTTAATTAATAATAATAGTAATACTTGAATATTGATTAAATTGTATGTACTAATACAACAAAAAAATATAACTTGATTTTAACACAAAAAAAAATTTCATAACTTATATTAATAATAATCACACTTTTAAACTAAAAAATGATAAGATATAATATTATGAAGTATAGAGTTCATCTACACAATAATTAAAAGCACCAAATACGTATGATTATGTACATGCTATTACTTTTGTTTTTGGCTAAATACTTTTACGCATATATTAAATTAATTATAATATAATATGAACCATCGTTATGGTCATATGAAAAATAGACTTGCATAATTTTTTATTTAACATTAATATATTACACTTTCATATCTAAAAATAGTATATATATTTTTATATAAAATAAAATGTCATGAAAACATCTCTAACCATCTACATCAGCAACAACAAAAAAATTTTCTTACAAATTCAGCATGTAAGAAAAACTAATATGGTTTTTCTGGTTAAGAAACTCTTTTAAAAATAAAATAATATATATTATTAATTTAATTAGAAAAGTTTATCAAAATATATATGTAGTGTAAGAACAATATTTAAGTTAAATTGCAAATGCAAATGAGCTTTTTACACTTTTTGAGTTTTGAGAAACTAGACATACTTTGTTCAATAGAATGAGTTAGTAAGAAGTTTTATTTGTATATGTATTACTTTCTTTATTTATCTACAATTCTATACTTAACTATGCTTCAAAGACCAAATAAAAATTATAGTTTATCAATATGATTGTGATTTTGTATACTATGTAAATATTATAAGTATAAATTAAATTAATTATAGTGCAGTATAAATCATCGTTATAGTCATGCATATAAAAAATAGATTTGCATAATTTTATATTAACCATTAATATATTACACATTCTTATTTAAAAATACAATATACATTTTTATGTAGGAGAAAATGTCATAAAAAATATCTGACCATCCACATTAACAAAGAAGAATTTCTTACAAACTCAATATGTAAGAAAAACTAACATGGTTTGTTTTTTTCGTTAAGAAATTTTTTAAAAAATAATAAGATATATATTGTTAATTTAATTATAAAGGTTTATCAAAATATATATGTAGTGTAAAAAATATCTAAGTCAAAATTACAAACAAATGTAGATAAACCTTTTATACATTTTGAGTTTTGAGACACTCGACATATTTTGTTCAATCGAATGAGTTAGTATGAAGTTGTATTTTTATATTTATTATTTGTTTTATTCATCTACACTTTTATAGTTTACATATGCTTTATGGATCAAATCAAAATTGCAGTTTATCAATATGATTGTGATTTTCTATAATATGTAAATGTTGCTTTTATTATATGAACAATAGTTTTTAAGGATTTGTAAAGTTTTGAATATTGATTGTTGTCTTGTATTTAAGACTGCTAAAAAAAAAAACTACACGGATACAATTGAAATAAAAATAAATCCAAATTAATTGAAATAACCAGGTGCTTCAGTTGTAGTCATATGTTTAATAAGTTTTTTTTAAATGAAAAAAATATTTGAAATTAAATAAAGAAAAATTTATAGTTGTTGAGTTTAATTATATATCAAATTTAGTTAAAACAAAAATAATTTAAATAATAGTTTGAAAGTTAGTGAAACAATGAGTTTATATATCAAAATTAATCAAAAAAATTTAAATAATATATTAAAATTTAGTGAACAACAATGAGTTTATATATAAATATTAATTTTTAAATTAACAATTTATTTATATATATATCAAGTTAGTTAATTCTTAAATTAAATTATAATACATTTTTAAGTACGTTAATTTTTTATATATATAACCACATCAAAACAATATTGAAAATCAAAAAATATATTTAAATATTAATTTAAAGTTAAAAAATAATTTAAATAATAATCTAATATTTATAAAAATAATCTGCACGTAGCGCGGAAACATCTCTAGTATATCTATTAAAGCGTTAATTTGTAGATAGCTGCTTTAACAAGAAGTCAAGAACTGGTTAAATTTATCTAAACATTAATGTTACCAAATTAAAATTCACGTAAAATAATAAATTTGTAATGATATGTTACTACTAGTCTAAAATAAATTAGAGGTTGACATATATCTATAAACAAAGTGTTTTTAGAAATTAGAACTAAAGAAGGATTCTAAGAAAAAAAAACCTAAAAAATTCAAAAATGAGTGAAGCTTTTTTACAGAATTATCATTTGATACGTAATAAAAAAAATTAATTTACAATCTAAACAAATTTTTAAGCATCGTGTAAACTTGTTTTAATAAGAATTTATTAAAATTTTCCCAAACATTAATGTTACCCAACTAATGAAAAAAAAAATGTTGTTATACATTCAATTTTTAAGCCTTCCGCTAGCATTCATTGCGATTCCTTTAAAATGTTTTGTTCAAAATAGTGCATCATTAGTTTAATGAGAAAAACGATGTCATTTAAGTAATTTTCACTAATTTTTATTCAAACCAAATGCTCTGCATTGAATTTATTCATTATTCAAACCAAATAAACATATTACCATACGAAATTGCTCTATTATATTCAACTGATTTATTTTGATTGGTCGGCTCCTACATAAGTGATATCTGCTTCTTCCCTAAAAGGTACAAACAAAGCAGCAAAATAAAGAGAGAGAGTCCTTAGCAAAGAGAGAGATGGCGTATTGGTCAAGGTTACCGGCGGAGGTCCTCCTGATGATTGCTCTCCGTTTGTTCTCCTCGTTGATTTCCTCCATTTCCGTAGCATCTGCACATCTTGGCGCTCCTCCGTTTCCCTGGACGACAATCCTTTCCCGAGACGCCCTCTCATCGACCTCAACCCCCTCGTCATCACTATCCATGTCGGCCCTAATGAACCAAAGCAAATCTTCGGCCTCGACCGGAGCGCATTTCTATCACGCGCCACCTTCTTCCGCGTCTCCTCCTCTGCGACGAGTCGGGGGTGGCTGATGAAATGCGATAGTGATCTCCTCGGTTACAGGAGACTCCGTCTTCTCAACCCTCTCTCGCGCCTCCCGATGAGCCATCTTGGCTTAACCATCGATCTTCTTAATGTCTCCGATATTCAAGATGCCTATGTTGTTCAAATCCAACGCAAGAAGAAAAAAGAACAACTTTTTGGATTCAAAAGGTTGGTTGTTACGGCAAATGGTCGCCTTCTTGGAGTAGGATGCGACGGGAAGATAAGGTATTGGAACGGAGACGTCTGGACCAAAATGAAAGAGCAAGTAGCTCGATTCTGTGACATCATAGTTGAGAGAGAGAGAGGGCTAACGTACACCTTGGATTCGCATGGGAATGTCTGGTGGGTTAGTTCCTCTCTGGGCATCTTTAGGTATGGACCTTCACTGGATGAATATGCCACTAAGGAATCTTGTAGAGACTTGGTTTTGGTGGAGTGTGGTGGAGAGTTATACGTTGTAGATCGTGTCGTTGATGATAGCCTCTGGATCAGAAAAAGTGGTAATTGGTGTCGTTATCGTTTCACAATGATACACGACGATGATGGGGACGAGAGATGGGTAACACCGGAAATATCTCGCTTCTATCCCAAGACGGTGGGTTTTAAGGTTTACAAGGTTGATGAAGAAGTGGGGAAATGGGTACAAGTTATGTCCTTGGGAGATCATGCGTTTGTGATGGCTAGCGATGCTTGTTTCTCGGTCTTCGCTGATGAGTTTTATGGATGTTTGAAAAAACGCCATTTACTTCTCCGACGAGGCAGAACCTGAGACCACTAAGGTGTTTAAGCTTGATGATGGGAGCATCACGACAATGACGACGAGATACCCGAGGAGGTGTTTCGCAATGTTTGCTCCTTTTTTTTTTGCACTGAATCTTGTTTTAGTGTCAAGGCAACTTTCTTTATATCAAAAATATTAACCATCTAATAAAATAAAATAAAAAACCAATCATTCATCTTCTTCATCTTTGGTACAATTGAACAAGAAAATGCAACATGTTAATTTGTTGGTATCATGTTGAAGCATTAGGATGTTTTAGCCATTGCATCATCAGATGAACGAGCCATGTCTCTGTACGAATTATGAAAGGAACCACCATGGAAAGATTTAGAATATTTTTAACTAAACTAGAAAGATATCGTTATCATTCATGGAAAAGATATGCTATAAATGCGTATTACAAAGTAGAGATAGAGTCTACTATATAATCTACAAAGATATCCCCTAAACTAATCTATAGATATATTGAAAATCTAATCCAAATATATTTTCCCATTTCAAGTTCGAGCGTGTAAATATAAATCAATTCTTAGTGCTTGGACAGAAAAACATCCAACATAACTCTATCACTATGTGTAAAAACGTAAGAGAAAAAATGGTTATCATTCATAGATAAGATATGCTATAAATGCATATTACAAAGTAGGAATAGAGTCTACTAATCTACAAGATATGTAGAAGCTAAGATATCCCCTAAACTAATCTATAAAAATATAGGAAATCTTATCCAAAAATATATATCAATACCTTCTTAGTTCTTGGACAGAAAAACATCCAACGTATATCCCAATACCTTCTTAGTTACGTAACTCTATCACTATGTGTACAAACGTAAGAGAGAAAAATGGTTGATTGGTCAAAGTTACCGAGGGAACTCCTCGGAATGATCGCCGTCTGTTTGTTCTCCGTCATCGAACTCAAAAGTTTCCGTAGCGTCTGCCGTTCTTGGCGCTCCTCCGCTTTCGACAATCCTTTCCGGAGCCGACCTCTCATCGAGCTCAAACTCCTCGACCCAACTGAAAATGCCTCCCAACAAGGAAACGCGTTCCTCTCAGGTGCCGCCTTCTTCCGCGTCACTCCCTCCTCCTCGCCGAACCAAGGGTGGCTGATCAAATCCGACACCGATCTCAACTCGGGGAAATTTCGTCTTCTCGACCATTTCTCGCGCATCCCTTTGAAACACAGGTGCAAGAGCATCAATCTCTTGCGTTTCAATGTCTCCGAGATTCAAGAAGCCTACGTGGTTCACGACAGGCGCATGGACGAACCAGATCCCGGATTCAAAAGAGTGGTTCTTGCCACCGTCCAAGGAGGAGATCATGCTTTGGGAGTCGGCTGGGACGGGAGGATCAGGTTTTGGAGTGGTCGAATCTGGACCATACTCAAAGACCAGCTTGCTGAGTTCACCGACGTTGTAATCCACGGAGGGCTAACTTAGGCCTTGGCTTCGGATGGGTCAGTTTGGTGGATAAGCTCCTCTCTTTCCATCTTCAAGTACGGACCACCATTAGATGAAAGCATCACTGGTAGCGATTGCAGAAACTTAAGCTTCGTGCAACATGGTGGAGAGCTTTACATTGTTGATCGTATCCTTAAAGAGGGTGATACCTTGGATCCTAATGTTTTTTATGTTTGCGCTGTCGACGATGATGGGAACCAGATAGGCGAAACATCTCCCAAAACGATCGGTTTCAAGGTTTACAAGATGGATGAGGATATGGGGAAATGGGTTGAAGTTAAGTCATTGGGAGACGACGCCTTTGTGATGGCTACCGATACTTGTTTCTCGGTTTCGGCCGGTGAGTTCCATGGATGTTTAAAAAATGCAATCTACTTCGCTGACAAGGAATGTAAGATCAGGGTGTTCAAGCTTGAAGATGCTAGTATCACAAGAGCCACCAGTACCGAGCAGAACTGTTTCAAAATGTTTGCTCCAAGCTTTTTCTGAATCTTGATTAAGTTCAAAGCTGGTTTCTCTTATATAAAAAAATATCATTCATCTTAACAATATCATTCATCTGAATAAAATCCCTACTTTTCATCTTTATAAACAAAACGAAATCAAATCTAAATGTTTGTTTTTAGATTTTTCTAAATCTTGTTTAGCTTAAACATGTTTTCTTTATATATTAATTATACCATTCATCTTAATAGAAAGCTTACCTTTCATCGATCATAAACAAAGCAAAATCAAATCCTAATGTTTGTTCATAGATTTTTCCGAATCTTGTTTAGCTCAAATATGTTTTCTTTTTATATTAATTATACCATTCACTTTAATAGAAAGCTTACCATTTATCTTCATAAACAAAGTGAAATTAAATCCAAAATTTTGTTCCTAGATTTTTCTGAATCTTGTTTAGCTCAAAGATTTTTTTTTGTATATCAAGAGCTTCATTCATCTAAATAAAAAGCTTATGTTTCATCTTTATAGACATCACTTATTCAAATCCAAATGTTTGTTCCTAGATTTTTCTGAATCTTATTTAGCTCAAAGTTGGTTTTTTATATATATTAGGAGTACCAATTCATCTTAATAAAAGATTTACCTTTCATCTTTATAGACAAAACCAAATCAAATCCAAAAGTTTGTTCTTAGATTTTTTTGAATCTTGTTCAGGTGAAAGCTGTTTTCTTGTACTAAGAATATCATTCATTTGAATAAAAAATTTTACCTTTTCATTTTTATAAACAAAGCGAATTCAAATCCAATGTTTTTCCTAGCTTGTTCTGAATCTTGTTTTAGGTTTGAGGTCAAAGCTGTTCTTTTTATCTAATAATAAAAACAAATTCAATCAGTCTTTCCGTTAAGGGTATCTTGTGATATGCAAATAAATTCTTATTTTTAAGAGCATCCCCATGAGTAAGACCATGTTCAATGGGAAAAACTCTTCTAAAAAGCTATTACATATATTATATTACTGTAATTTAATTATAACCTTAATTTTTAAATATAAAAATAATTGGACCAATGGTAATAATGACACACACTTTTAAAGTATATTAGTATTGTTAGAAATAGTCTCTTAATTTCTTGAATAAGAGCTGCATCTAACTTTTTCTCTCTCTTTCTCACAGTTTTAATACTTTTTTATGTTTAGATACTCACTTTAGATCCTGCATTGCACATGGTCTAAGTATCTAACAAAGGTATCTAGTGAATAAAAAAAATAAAAAATGAAAAATAAAGAGAAAGAACGAAGAGAGGCTCTCAAATAAGAAATTTTGAGATATCCATGAAAATCCCAAACACACTTGTGTCTTATCTATTGGTTCAAAAAATAATTAAACAATTAAGATTTAATTACAAAATGTAATTATGTTAAAATAATGATATTTTTTATTAGAGATACTTTATGGGATATAGATGCTCTAAGAACCTCTTTGGAGTTCTAAAAAAAATATACTACTTCTTCCGTTCTTAAAATGTTGATATTTTTGACTCATTTACATAAATTAAGAAAATATTATTTTTTGTTATCAATGCATTAATTTTTACAATCATTACTATTTAGTAATTGTTAACCAATGGCAATTTAAGATTTCAAATAGTTCTAGTTACTTTTTTGAAGTCTACAGAAAAATATTTAATAATCTAAAATATTAATTTTAAGCTTACCTTTTTGTTTTTATAGATAAAGTGAATTCAAATCCAAATGTTTGTTCCCAAGAGTATGATGAGCTTATGGATCTTTGGGCCATTCCATGCTCGTCCACAATTCCATGATATGACAATAATAAAACATTTATATTTGAATTCGATTTATCTATAAAAATGAAAAGAGAAGCTTTTTCTGAATTTTATTTTACGTTTTATGTCAAAGTTGCTTTCTTTAACTATTAATAAAAGCAAATTCAATCAATGTCTTTTACCGTTTCTATATAGTAGCAGAGTAATTGCTAAATTGGCAAGAATTTCAGCTGACAACAAAATGCATTACCAATTACATCAGCTGAATTTAGTTTGCTATTCTTTGTTTACTATCCGAACTATACGAAATTTAAATACTCAAAATTTATGAAAAATAACCAAAACAAATTTTACATTTTTAGGTATTTCCATTATTTGGTTAAATTTTATACAAATATAACTATAGATTTTTTAGGTATTTTAGTTATTTTGATCTAAATATAATTAATATATTCAGTTTATAATTGTAATTTTATTTTGTTTAAAGTTGTCTTAATAGTTTGGTTCTAGTTTGGTTCAAGTTATTTCAGTTCTTGATTTTGTTTTTTGCATTTTTTATATTGTTTAATGATATATTATAATTTTACCGATTTCTAACTAAGTTTCAAAAGTTTTTATCGAATCTTTTTAGTATTTTTAGAGTCTTTACTGGTCAAAACATGTTTGGATGGGATCTAATGCCTTCGAAATAAAGAATCAAAGAAAAAGGAGCAAAACTGGTTTTTTCGGAGCATAGATCGATCGGTCTCTTGTTGGATCGATTGATCCGATGATTGAAGATTTACCCGAAACATTTTAGATCGATTGATCCAGGAGGGATCAATCGATCCGAGAGACCACGAATCTCCAAAGAAGATTTAGATCGATCGATCCAAAGCCTTAACCAACCAGTTTGGTCATACATAAAGTAAGAAAACTTGCGGATTTTTCCTTTTCCGACTTGGTTTTCGATAATTTCTCATCCAATTCGTGCCTAAACCTATATATACTTGTTTTTCAGCCATTGTTTAGGCTACCTCTTCTTTTACATTCATATTTTTGACTTTTTGTTATTATAAATTTGTGGGTCCTAATCTAGTTAATTATACAAAACATATAATAGTAGATTAGAACCTGCATATATGTGAGGTTTTAATAATATTGATAAATGAATAAAGTCAAAGTTCAAGAAATAAGTTTTTTTTGTTATCTCCGATTATCTAAAAGTTATCTAAATATTTCAATCTCTGAAATAGCTTTGTGGATTGATGTTGTTCTAACTCTATGTTGTTACTCTAATCTTTTATTAATACACTAATTTTATTTTATTTTTGTTTTCTGTAAGTGTGTCGAATAAATCGCTATCAATAGCATTTGAAGAAAAACAAATATGTACAGTAACATGTATATAGTATCATATTATATTTGTTTTAACAGATTTAGCATTTGCAGTTATAACACACTTTCTAACTTTCACACCAAATTTGTATATCCAATATATATAAAAATTGAATTTAAATATTCAAAAAGAGAGGTATTTCTAAATCGATACAAATAAATACCTTAATAGATTCAATAATCTCTTTTATTTCCTTTTACAATTCTTATATAATAACTCATATATTCCTACTTAATTTGTTTTCTCATGTCTTTCAGTTTTCTTCTTCTTCATCTTCTTCACATTCGTCATCTCCTCAGACTTTTTTCTTCTTTTTCTATTTTTTCACTTTTTAAAATTTTTCTTTTACTTCTTCCTTTTCTTCGTTTCATTTATATTTTTCAAAAAAAATTCTACTTTGTATTTTTTCCGTTCTCATTTTTTTCCAAACTTTTTTTTACCAACTTCATTTTCTTCTTTCTCTTCTCTATCTTTTGATTATTTTTTTCACATTCTCTTCCTTTTTATCATTTTCATCTCATTTCTACTTCTTGTTATTTGATGGTTTTTCTTCTTCCCTCTCCTTCTTAGTTTCTTCAATCTCCCAACAATTTACTTTGCCATTTTTTCTCGTCTAATCTTTTTCCTACTTTGATTTTCTTCATTCTCCACTGTATTTATTTTTCTTTTTCTTCCGGTTTTTATTATTCTCCAACTCTCTTATGTTTTTCTACTTCATCTTCTTCATCATCTTTATCATTTGTCTTCTTTATTTTCTTCCATTTTTTATTAATTTTTAAACTTGTCTACGTCTTCTTATTCGTTTTTTTTACCTCTTCTTCTTTCTCTTCTAAATCTTTCAATTTTTTTCTTCTTCCTTCTCTCACGTTTTGCATTCTCCATCGTCTTCATATACTACAACTTCATCTTCTTCTTTTTATACCCATTTATATTTTATTATCTTTATTTTCTCTGATTTCTTATTCTTACAGTTTTTATTTACGTTCTTCTACTTTATGTTACTCATATTTCAGTTTTTTTTCTTCTACTTCATCCTACTGTTTTCTTTTTCTTCTTTTTCCTGATTTCTTACTCATATTCTTCTTCTTTTTCTTCATTGTTATTGTATTATCCATCTTCTTATTTTTCTAATTTTATTCATCTTCTTCTTTTTCTATCCACTTGTATATATATTTTATTATTTTTATTTTCTCCGACTTTTTATTTTTTCAGTTTTTATCTACACTCTTATACTTTGTCTTATTCATATTCAGTTTTTTCTACTTAATCCTACTGTTTTCTTTTTCTAGTTTTTTCCCGACTTTGTATTCATATATTTCTTGTTTTTCTTCATCGTTACCATATTATTCATCTTCTTATTTTTTTTAATTTAATTAGTCTTCTTCATTTTCTTTCGAATAGAATAAATTATTTATTAAAGCATCGTCTGTAGTGCTCTTCTAACAAGAACCGATTGAAGTTTTCCTAATACTAATTGTGTCACTATCAGTTTGAAATAAATTAGAGTTTGACACGAACCTATTAATAGAGAGGTCTTAGAATTAAAATTCTTCTTTACTGCGTGAAGAGAGTCTCCTAGAAAAAAATGGTAAACACATCTCTACTGACAGAAGAGGGTAAATGAGCAAGATTATTTTTGGAAAAATTATCAGTCATTGCTCAATAGAGTTTTTAATTTGTTGTTATTTTCATAGATGTTTCCCAAAACAGAATAAAATTTATACTCAAGCGTTAATTTGTAGAGAGCTGCTTTAACAAAAAGTCAAGAACTGGTTAAAGTTTATCTAAACATTAATGTTACCAAATTAAAATCCATGTAAAATTAGAAATTAGTAATGATATGTTACTACTGGTTTGAAATAAATTAAGGGTTGACATT